GACGACGTCTCAAGGGAGTTTTAATTAGCATGTCACTGATAGTTCAGGATATTGAACATTTTTTTTTCATATACTGCTTAGCAACGTGTACTTTGGGGGACTATCTGTTCATTTCATTATCTCATTTATTGATTGGGTTGTCTGTGGCTTGGGGGTTAGACTTTGAGGTCACTATGTCATGGATCCTCTTCAGATGTGTAGCTAGCAAGGAGTTGCCTCCGTTCTGTAGGCTTGGCAGGACCCAGCTGTTTGCTTAGCGTGCAGCAGCTTCTTGACTTCATGTCATTCCACTTGCTGCTTCTTGCTGCTGTTTTCTAAGCTGCTGGTGCTTTTTCATCCTTACCTATAACAATATTGCGAAGGGCTTTCTCCCTAGTAGTTTCAAATCTTATGTTGAAATCTTTGAAGCATTTTGAACAGATGTTTGGATGGGATGAGAGATGGAGATCTAATTTTCTTCTTCTGGGAGACACAAGCTTCCCTCACCATTTCTTACAGGGATTGTTTCTTCTTCAGGCTAAGTTTTTGACACCATTGTCAAAGATCTGGTGGCTGTAGGTAGCTGTGTGTGTGTTTACTTCTGGATCCTCTGTTCCGTTCTATTGACCAATGTGTCCATTTTTGTTTCAGTACCATGCTGGTTTTGCTGTTATTGCTCTGTAACGTAGCTTGAAATCAGATATTGTGATACCTCCAGTATTGTTCCTGTTATTCAGAGCGGCTTTGGCTGTATGGGGTCTTCAAGCTTCCATCTGAAGTTAGGGATTGTCCTTCCCATTTATAAGGATAATGGATCGGTTTTTGAAGCAACTTCTTCAGCGCCAGTTTCCTCACTTCTGAAGTCTTTGAAGTGAGAATTGGTTTAAGAGTCAGCTGAGGAGAAAGGAAAGCCACCTGAGTACCTAAGCAGATTCAGCAAATGGACTTTCCTTCTCCAGAGAAGAACCACAAGCCTCTGCTCATTCACCTGGATTCCAGGGAGAGCAAAGAGTGATTGCTACCAAGTATCACCGGGGAGGCAGCCAGCCCTGTCACTGGGTGGACCTGGCACCCCTCCTGCCCCATTTCTCTTGCTGGTGTCATTGAAAACAATGAGTGAGCACCCATATTCATAAAACAAGGTGAGAGACTCTCACTTTTGCCTGCTTCCTAGCTAAGAGCATCTTCCTGGCAGATCCTCCTGTCAATATTTACAGTCAACTGCTTCCAGCCAAGAAAGCCTGCAGACTCTCAAAGCAAAAGGCACAATGCTTTTCTCGCAGAGCACCATGCCCACGTCCCTCCCATCTGTGGTAAAAGACTGTGTTACCAAATTCTGGAACACCTGCGAGTTTGTTACCCTGGAAAAGCAGGTTCTTGGAATCCCTTCACTTCACTGGCTTCTGTATGTTTGTTTGGTTTTGGTTTTGGTTTTGGTTTATAGGGGATTTGCTCATATTTCCAATCTTGGCAATGTGCTCTCTCTCTCTCTCTCTCTCTCTCTCTCTCTCTCTCATACACACACACACACACACACACACACACACACACACATTTATCTCAGAAACCCATCTTCCAAAGTGGACAGCACCCTGGCTGTGCATTTGAAAGTTCGTTTTCTCAGTTTGGGATGGGTTCTCCCTGCCTTGCTCCCTTTCCTCTTTTGAGACAGTGTCTCCTGGTTTCCAGGATGACTTTAAATTCTTTCTATGCACCTGAAGATGACCCTGAACTTATGACCTTTCTGTCTCCTAACTTCTGGGTTTATAAGTCCGCACCACCATGCCTGACGTAGGTGGTACTAGACGTTGACCCAGGGCCTCAGGCAAGCATTCTGCCAGTCTTGCTGCATTCTAGTCCCAGTTTTGTTAGTCAGTCAGGTTAGAAAGTGGGGGTGCTTTTAAAGGAAGACGCAGAGCAGACTCTCACCTCAAGTGGACATCGTCTCTCTGGTTCCAAGGTGGCATGAAGTACCCCAGCAGCTAAGCTAAGTGTGTCTCCTTGAGAAGAAAATGCGGGGAAGTAGATGGCTAGAGTTAGACATCTTGTCTCTGATGGCTTTTTTGTTTACTTGCTCTCCTCATCGAATTTGAATCTAGGATTCATGATCTGAGAGCAGAGTGACTCGTGGAACATTGCATCCTGGTCCCAAACCCCTTGTCTCATAAGGAATAACGTTTATTCAACCACAGCTTAATGGGTGTAATTCAGACTCAGCTTTTAATGAAAAGGCAAAGGTGCAAAGGACCAGAACAGCCTGATGCACAGTTGTGTCTGCCAGGCCAGAAGGAATTCCCTCCGAAGTCCTTTGTCAGAAAACGTTACATCAGCTCAATAACTGTTTAAATATCAGAAAGAAAGTGACAAGCCTAAGGTTTAGCATGAAATTGGGACTTTATATTGTCATCTAGAAAAGTAACAACATACAACAGTTTTACGATACTGTCCAGAGGCCCAGTAGCATGTGTCAAAAGGAAACCGGCTGCTGCAGCCATTGCACTCCCCGCTTATAACTGAAAAGAACTCCCCCCTCTGCAGAGAGGGAAAGGCCTCAGTGCTTGGGAGAGGCTGAGCCCTGGTGCTGCCTCCCACTGGGCAGGAGAGAAGGCTTTACTTGTTCTCCAGATAATGATTCAAAGCCCTTGATGCCAGAGCGGGTGCCGGCACTGCCAGATGAGGGGTCCTAGGTGGTGGAAGTCAGGAGGAGGGTGGAGGTTCCGAGCCAGGCAGCTCCTTCCTTCTCCGTCTCCTGAAGGTGCCAGAGTGCAGACAGAACAGCTTGAGCTGTTTGCTCATCAGTGTTGAAGTCTTCAAGACAGGTCTTATATGGGTCGCACACCAGTTCCTCCTCCTCCTCCTCCTCCATTCAGGGTTCATCAGCCTTTGAAGTGCTCCGTTTCCCTGAGAAATGACAGTTTGGCATTTCTCTGGGCTGTCTCCCCTCTGATTCTGCAGACTTCCATGCATAGACCAATAGAGCCTCAGGGCTGTACGTGTCTGCCCCTCACACTTTGGGTAATTAGGTGGATAGATTTGCTAAGCTGTCTCGCTTGAATAAAGTCCATTTTATTCCTCCTGGAAGAGCTCAGGATGCGGTCAGAGACAATAGGAATAAGCCGTCCAGCCCTCCCACTCCTGTACCTCATGTGGGGATGTAAATGGATGGGAAGGATGGAGTCCAGTGCACGTGGGTGGGGATTTAGAAGCTTTTGAACCAGCTAGGATGGTACCCAAATGACTCCACGTTAGAACACTATGGAAATCACTTAATACCCTTCTATCGTCCTAGCGTGCCATGCTGGGCAGTGCCCTATCTCACATCTTAGGTTTCTACTGTTGGAATGCTGGTAGTAACGAGAAAAGTTTCAGTGCTCACACACAGCTTCCATTTGGGTTTCTTGATGTTTGCTTCGTCTGTGTACCTGAGACAAACCAGGTTTAACATCTGTTTAACAGACTGAGAGGAGTCAGGCAGTGGTGGCTCACACCTTTAATCCAAGCACTTGGAAGACAGAGGCAAGTGGATCTCTGTGAGTTCGAGGCCAGCCTTGTCTACAGAGCTAGTTCCAGGACAGCCTGGGCTACACAGAGAAACCCAGTCTCAAGAAAACAAAACAAACAAACAGAAATGCTTATAATGGATCCTCTCTTTGTGGCTGAGGAAGACCTACTTTGACACAAGTTCACGCTCATAACCAAGATCCCATTTAAGTAGGTACATGATTTTCAGAGACGGTTTGGAAAAACTGAAGGTCATTTAATGTCCTACACTGTAGCTATGCTGATCTGGAACCTATGAGTCTTCTTGTCGCTCAACACTGCTGTATAATCTGGGTTTTTATGTTGCCTCCCTGGCTGTAGAAAGTGTCACACAGCTGGGCTTCTAATTTTCCACTTTTGTGAACAGCTTCGAACAGAACGTCTTTCAGTTCCCCCTCAGGTTTATGCTACCACCTTGAGACCATCCTAAAGACACCCTGAAAGGACAATGGATACATTTTAGGCTCAGGCCTTCTCACACTGCGGTGTGCGTATGATCCTTTTGGTAGTACTGTGGAAAGCCAGTCCTCACTCATGGGTCTGCAGCCAGCCTTGAGGGCCTACATCTGTAATAAACTCCTTCATGATGTCCACGCTGTAGCTAAGGCTTTGCCCCATCCCTTGGACTTGTTGTTCTGAGGATGTATTTCTCAGACTGGTGCTCCCAGAGTCACTGTGTGGGCTGGGTGTGTAGGAGCTCTCGTCTTTCTTTATCTTCCAGTGGAGATGAAGATTTGGTTAAGTCTGCCATCCAGAGATGAGTAGCTGCAGTACCTGGTCTCAAGGAAAGCCCCTGAACTCGGTCGTGGCAACCATTACAGCCAGAGGATAGTACAGACGCATCATACAGCGCTGCATTCCAGGAACAGATGCACCCAGTCCAGGGACCACGGCAGACCACTACAGACAATGGACCTGGATACCAGTAGTTTTTAAGGGTCCTGTCTACTGATGGAGACTATGTAGCCAGGGTTGAGCACCATTGTTCTGAACCCTCAGAGACCAACCTTAAATCTCACTGAGTTACAACCACAACATTTTTTTCTAATATTAAATCTTTTTTTTTAATCTTAATGTTCACAATACTTGTGCCTATTTATAGGGTGGAGTATGCGAGTTTAATACTTGTAAACAATGCTGAATGATCCAGTCAGGGTAATCAGTGCTTCCATCTCCTCAAACACTGACCATTTTGTGTAGGGGCCTTTTGGATACTTCTGTTTAATCTTAAAATGCGCAACAGATGTCAGGCTATAGTCACCCTGCTGTGCTATTGAACCTCAGAACTATGTCTTCCTACTAAACTTGGTGCTTTCTACCCAAAATATCTCTATTCCACCTGTTCATCCCAGCCACTAGTGACCACTGTCTACTCTCCGCTATGAAGTCAAAATTTTAGATCCCTCATGAGTAAAAGTGCATGCTGTTTTTCCTTGCTACTCGCACCTGCTAGGGTGACGTCTGCTTTTTCTCTTCGGCAGTTGCCTTCTCGGGCCTCGGTTTCACAACGTTCTACCTGGCTGGCAAGCTGCACTGCTTCACGGAGAGTGGGCGGGGGAAGAGCTGGCGGCTTTGTGCCGCCATCTTGCCCTTGTACTGTGCCATGATGATTGCCCTATCGCGCATGTGTGACTACAAGCATCACTGGCAAGGTGAGTCCCCAATCAGTCCTCAGAGTAGCCCCCCTCTTCCTCCAGGGATGGGTGTTGGACAGTCACTGAGCTGGGAAGAGCTGAGTCCCTACTATCAGAAACTGGACTAGATGTGGTCATAAAAGACACGGGCCTCTTTAAGTGTGTCCTGGCATTGATCTTGGCCCTGCTGAGCTTTTTCTTCTCATTTGTTCTCAAGAAGACTTCGCTCAAGTCCTGCCAGGCTATCAGGTCTTCAGTGTGGTCACCCTGGCCTCAGGCCTAAATGTGGTTTCTCTGCTTGATTGGTCTCCAGACTCACTGCCAAGTTGTTTTTGGCTCCTTCTCCCTTGTAAATCCAGTCCCCACGGGCGTATATTTCTCACCACAGAGGCAGTGCCAAAGGGTATGTCCAGTCCAGGGTTCCAACTTCACCAATAATTTTAGTAGCTGCCACAAGGCTGGAATAAGGCTTACCTCTATTGCAAGGCTGGGGTGAGATTTCCCTCTGTCTCAAGGCTGGGGTGAGACTTAGCATTTGACACAGTTGTAGTGAAGCTTGTTTCGATCACAAGGCCAGGGCAAAGCTTGCCTCTCTTGCAAGACTGACCTGAGACTTACTCTGTATTAAGGCAAGACTTCAATCACAAAGCAGAGATGAGGCTTGCCTCTGTCTGAAGGCAGGGGTGAAGCTTGCTTCTATGTGTCAGTCCTAGGATATTCATTAAAACTTAAATCGTCAGCAAGTGAGGGATTTGTTTCGGGAATGCGGCTGACCTCACCATGTCTCTGTCAATAAACTGCAGCTCTCAGCTGTCCTGAAAGAGAATCACCACCTGCCATAATATACAGGAAACAGGTACAGTGGTGACAGCCTGACAGCCACAGTCGTGTGGCTTCCAGGGACAGCAACATCTATGGTGTGGCTTCCCGAAATGACATCCTCAGACCACCTTGACCAGTCTCCCCCTATCCCATCAGTCCTGAATGAGCATCTGGGAGTAGGATGCAGTGTGACATGGTGTCCAGGAGTCTGACAAAGGGGCGTGTCCCTTCTGGTCACTTCTGAGAGTCACCTACAGTAAGGAGACAGTTTCTCCTGCTCCCTCCCAGCTTCTGGTCTACTCCCAGCCCTTCTGGGGCCCGTGTCTTGGGAGTCATGTGCCTGAAATGGCGTTTTGGAGTTAGAAGGTGCGGGGTGTGGGAAAGAGATGCTGGAGCACAGTTTCCACGGGGGATGCATCATCATCCCACGACCCTGGATGGAGGAGGTAAGGAAAGGACCACAGCTGTAGCTGCAGCTCTCCCTGCTTCTCTATTATTACCACTGAGTTGAGTGAAGTGCTTGGTGTCCTGAAAACCATATTACAAGAAGTGGGGAGCGACAGACTCCTGAGCCAACAACAACAGAGGCACGTCGTCACGCCACACTAGCTCTAGGGATGTTTTCCTATCATCTTTGTTGTCAATGGGCTTAGAACATTCCCCTGCAAGAACAGTATGGACCAAACAGCCTTGTGTGAATTGTGTCTCCTGTTTCTCAGGGAACTCCAGTTTCTTCTTTGACCATAGAATGAGAATATCTGAATATTTCCCAGAGTCATGTCATAGACTGAATGCAATAATGAACCCAGATGTCATTGGTAAATGCGAATGCACTGTGCCAACCAGTTTCCCTGTTGCCTTGATCACTGTTACTGAGGATGTATAGGGTTTTCTAAACAACTGCCTTGGTGTCAGGTGTATTTTCCCAATATGATCAGATCAAAAACCACTGATACAGAGTTGCCACCCTGATTTTGGATTGGGGAAACAGTGAAGACCGTCAAGGGACTAGAGATGTCACTCATTGCTAGAATGCTTGCCTAATGCGTGAAGTACTGGATTCCATCCCAAGCACTACATAAATTGGGTAGAGTGCTGTGCACTTATTATTCTAGCACTAGCGAGGAGGAGGCAGGATGACTTGAGGTTCAAGGTCATCCTGGACTACACAATGAGTTCATGCTCATCCTGAGATATATGAGTCCCTGTCCCAAAATTTAAAGAGTCTCAGAACTGAGGAGAATTGATGCTTTTCCCGCTTCATCTTTGCACGATCTTATACGGATGACCTAAGATGTGAAGTGCGCACCTCTTCAACCCTCTCTGACCCTAGCCTGGCTTGTTGCCTTTCTCTCTGTGGCTCAATAACGTAATCGTGAGGAAAGAGTGAGAGATTATATTTATTCAGTGCTCACTTGTTTGGGGAGAAATGGAGGTGGCCTCTGAGGTTTGGGGCTTGGCAAACACATAGCAGCGAGGCCTTTGATTGCAGTGTGGGTGGATGTTGGAGGCGGGAGGCTTGATTGAGACAGATTGCTTGTTTCTCTGTGGCGAACTGAGCTGCCCAGTGATCGTAGGTGGGGACTGTCAATCAAGGTGAAAATCCATGTGGAACCCCATAGACATCAGCAAAGCCCAAACCCTTATCATTATTAATGTGAGTTACCAGCATCACTATTATGAGATTTTTATGACTCCATTTCAGTGTGATTTAAGCAATGATATCAGATACAGAAATACAACTGATTACTTCATTACATAGTCATAGCTAATCAATAGCCCATAATCTCACATGGCTTGCTCTGTTAGTTATGATGGTTGTTGTCTGTTATTTCAACCTCCCTAGTCCACTCCAAAGATACAAGTCTGCTTTTTAACTGAAGGAGGGGACTATGGGGGCCTAGGCATAGATGGGACTACATGTCAAATATTTAGTGAAACCTCCCCAGAAAGAGAGCTGGTTGGATTGATACTAAAACTCTATGTGGCGGGTGCTCACTTTGACTTTGTGCTACGTTGGTGCCAGTGCAGAGCCCCATGCCTGGCAGCAAGGCTCACCTTTGTGCTTAACCATGAGCACAAAGCATTTGAACTCCCAAGTTTGTCGAATCCCCATGCTGGGGAAGATCCATGCAGAGAAGGGCACAGCATGCCCTAAGCTTCTGCCTCTTCTCTCTCTTGTGTATTCTGTGGTTCCTGGCCAAGGAAGAACCGTAGCTAGGACTGGTATGAACATGTACTGTGCTTCATCCTGGGGTGTGTTAGCGCTCGTGCAAGCTCAGGCACAGGCACACACAGGCGCATGGTGGGAATAGACGCACATAGATACACACATACACGCGTATATACACACACACACAAACACACACACAGGCACATGCATGGGCACACACAGAGAGAAGTGGGGAGGGAGAGAAGCCTTCCTTTGATTTTCTAAATGAAGGGACTTGAAAGGGGAGTCTTAGGACAGTGTGGTTGTTCCCACCAGAAACCTTCCAGCTCTGGGCTGAATGGAATATGGCCCTGCGGCTCTCCCTCTAGTGTGCTCTATTCCAAGTGAATACATCTTCTCTCCATTGGCTACCTGTGTGGCATGGCTGAATTCCCAAGGTTCCATGCTGTTTAGGAACCTCAGGGTGCAGATGCCCATGGTGCTCAGGAGAGTTAGTAGCAATCTGAAGCACCATGGCACCCCTCCATCCATACAGAACCCACCAGACAGGCAGAACGTGGTCCACGGGATTCTTCCTCCACTGGGCCTTTTTGCATCTTTCTGTACTTGGCTGGCCCAATTCCCCAGTTTCTCCAAGGAAAGATGTTGCTTACTCCCGAGCTCCATGAATACCTTGCTTCCCTTTACTCAAGGAATTCTTCTCTTCTCAGCTTCCTGTGGTTTCCTGGGAACTTCAGTGTTCAAGCTATTGCTAGAGTTTAATCCCTCTCCCCATGCTAGTCCATTACTCCTGGCTAGTCTTCATCCATGCCCCTTAGCTGCGGCCAGTGAGCCTTTAGGACCATGGCTTTGTCTAGAAGTTCCTCCACTGATGCTCTCTGTTCCTTTGATATCAGAGCCCACACCCTGCAGTGACCTGCAGAATCCCATCCTTCAGGCCTGGGACTTCTTGCTGTTTCACGAACACTCCGGGCTTATCTCAGCACAGGGTCTTTGCGCTGGCTTCTCCATGTGCCTGCAATCCTTTCCCCCTGATGCGGACATACAGTAATCCTTTGCCCTCCTAGCCATGTTCCACACATCACATTGGGTTGGACTTGACAATATCAGTTCACTTACATCACAACCCTCATATCCTGCCCCTCTACCCTGACTCATTTGCCACCTTCTAACAACTAATTTAGTGCATAGTAACAATTGTGCGTTCCTGTTCACTAGAACAAGGCGGGGGGAGGAAGACTTTGTAGATACTATGTAGGCCTTATGTGGATAAAACCATTTCTGTGGCAATTATGTGAAGGCAGCTAGAAATTATATGTAACTGAGCAGAATTGTGTCACTGCCTGGCTCCCCCAACATAGGCTGGGATGTTTGCATGTCACATGCTGTCTTCTGATGGAGCTCCCTAGACTTTCAAGAGCAAACATCTAAGCACAAGGGATTTAGAAGAACAGCAGCACATTGTCTTCTGTATATTGTGCTGCTATTCTGGAGGCTGGACAAGAGACCGTCAGGACAACACTCCTGGAAACCTGAAGAAGAACTCTGCCTTGGCTTTCCAGATTCTCAGCCTAAGATGTGCCTTGACTTGTGGAAAGAGAGTTTCAAGCTCTGCTGCTGTCCCCCACGATGTGCTCCCTTGCATCTCTTCACGTCACTCCCTCGGTCTTCATCTGCCCTAACCACCATCTTTATAAGGATACTAGTCATATGGGGCTAGGGTCCGACCCAATGGCCTCATCTTCTAGAAAGAACCCAAATGGTTTTCTTCCGCTGCAGATATAGCAACTTGATAAACGTGATTATCTACCAGACATGGGGTCAGGGTTCTGTCTCCAGGGCCCCATGGTGGTGACACACCCCTGTAATTCCCAAGAAGCAATGGGAAGAAGATCAGAATTCAAGGTCATCTTTGGTTCAACAGTGAATTCAGAACCTTAAAAATAAGTTTCCTAGTAGTGTCTCACTGTGTTATAAGGGATTGGGAATTTGACAGAAATTTTGAAAGGACATAGGTCAGCTC